CTGTACATGTGTGTACATGCCAGGGATGGATTGGAATGTTAAAACAGCCTGGGAGCATGCTGTCAACAGGTCTGTGTGGTTCTGAGAGTGCCTCAAGGTCCTCTCAGCTTGGATCTGGACTCATACAACATTGGAAATGGGTACAGGCTTGTCCAGTGGCCAGCACCTTTTCCTACACCTGTACCCATGACCCGTGTCTGAGCTCAGTAGATTCTACAGCATTGCCAATGTCATGGGGCCACTCCACTCAGCTTGCTCCTACCCCCTAGTAGCCTTCCAGGGCAGCAATCAACCAGGAGCTTTCCCAATAAGTTGAAGTGCCATTCTACCTCTTTGCCAAGCATATCTCCCCAAATGGAGATCTGAAACCATCAACAAATGTAAACAAATATAAGAAAGAACTGAAGCAGGGAAGGTTCATCCATCCCTATTTGACACCCTCAGTCTTAACTACTAGGTCATAGGAACAGTAATGCAAAGCTATTTGGGGGCTTTTGTTGGCAGGGAAAACAGGCAGCAAATTATGCAGAATCATCTCTGTGTTAGTACATAACCAAAGAGCTTGTTTGATGGTAAAGAGTCCGGCACTTAAAATCACATTGGGAGACTAATCAATAACATTGAACAGATTTAAGTGCAGCATTACAAGGATATCCATGGCTGCATATTCTGGTCTGATCTCAGGAACGTTGTCTATTGACTGAGGAGGCATGAAGGAAGAAGAGATGCCTGGGCTTATCCTGTGCGGGCTGGGACAGGTGCTATAATATTCAGGCAGGGACCCTAAACCATATCCTTATTCTCTACAGATCTGCTAAAATGCCAATTAAGAGTTAGTAAGGAATGATGTTTGGTTAGAAATTAAGTTTTCTATTAAAGAAAGGTCACTGTCGCTATAATTTTCCTTTGGGGAACGTTCATTTCCAACTGATCTAAGGCAAAAGGAGAGTAATATTTGATCAATGCAGAGGAAAAGTGAGATGAGAAAAAAAGGGCTGGATTTTATATCGTACTCCCCCCCAAAACAGCATTTCTATCTGCAGCACAGTAGCATTTCTGAGCAGATCTGCCTACTTGCTTTATAGGCTAAAGCTCAATTGCCATGTTACTTCTTTATTTGAACTCTTTTGACCCAGCATCCTCGGTAAAATATCTCCGAGTCCACTGATAGCATCCATTACAATGGTAAAACAAAATGGAACAATAAAGCCAACTAGCATAAAATCAATCAGCCATAAAAATCATTAAAAGCAGCAATGAAATGCAGATAATTAAAAAAAAAAAAGAGTCAAAGCAGCAGGGCTCATTTTTGAACCTAGCAACCAATTACAGTGAGAGCCTGCAGAGAGAAAGCAATAGTTCAGTCATAATCCTGAAGAAATGGAGCAGGGAGAAGCAATATCAACAACAGACCATGAGGAGGGGGATTTTAAAAAAATGTTGTTGTTTTTTAACCTGGTACTTGAAAGACAGCAAATATCAAATGTCAGTGAGATTTCAAAATCTTGGCTCAACAATAGAGGGGCTGTGGCTGTTGCATGCAGAACTTTCCAGGTTTGATCCACAACATCTTATTTTTTTTAAAAGGATCAAGTTGTAGGCAGTGTAAATGACCTCCACTGGAAATCCTGGCAAGTCACTGCGAGTCAGAGTACAGATACTGATCTTGATAGACCAAGGGGCTGACTAGGTAAAAGGCAGCTTCATGTGTTCAACTGGAGTTGGAAGCTGCCATGTTGTTCAGGGCTATTCCTTCCCCCTTTGAAGAGAAATCAAGCGCAGTTTCCAGCAGTCCCAATTGCAACCCTTTTAAAAAATTAACACGTGTTTGCTGCTTCCTCTCATGCTGCAAGTGGGGCAGAAGCTTTAAAATATTGAACGGGAAAACAACCCCAAAATACATGACCAAACAAGTGAACCTTTGAATGGGGCAGCTTTGAGCAGATGGTAGTCGTGGAAACACTTGCATGTCTCAAGTCTCTGTCTTCTTGTTTTCCTTCTGTTTTGTGGAAGGTCTGTGGCTCAGCAGCAGAGCATATACCACAATACCCAGGTTCAGTTCTTAGCGTTTTCAGCTAAAGGATCTCAGAGAGCTGGTGTTGGGAAAAGCCTTCCTGTGTTTGAGGCCTCGAAGAGCCACTGCAAGTAGATGACTCTGAGCTAGAAGCACCAATGGCCTTCCTCTGTGGTTCCCCTATTGCTTCCTATGTGGCTGCCAGGCTGCTGCCTCCTTGCACCCCCACTCTCTGATTGGTCAGCTGCAGAGCTCAGTGTTCTGAGGTTAAAAAAACAGTTACAGGAGACAGCAGAGAGCTAATGACAGTTGAGGAAATCGGGAATGGCCAACCGCCTGTGAGGTGCAGCATTGCTGCTGGCCCAGCCACCCTGATGGCTTCAAACATGCTCCCCCCACCTCCTACACCTGACAGGGGGCTGTCTGTCAGGTGCAGCAGCAGGTGCAAGGTGCTTAAAGCCATCAGGGAGCTTACCCCAGCAGTAACACCTTAGTGATCCTGCTGGCTCAGCCCCCACAATGGCTTGCAATACCCCTCCCCCCTACACTGGACAGGCAGCTGCCTGTCAGGTGTAGGAGAGGGGTGGGATGCTTACAGCCATCAGGGAGGCTTGCTCAGCAGGATTGCCTTAGCGCTGCTGCTAGTCCAGCCTCCCCAATGCCTTTAAACACACTCCCCCCAACACCAGACAGGCGGGTGTCTGTCAGGTGTAGAAGCAGAGCCAGGGTACTGTAATCCATTAAGGAGGCTGCCTGAGCAGAAACACCTTAGCAATGCTGCTGGGCCAGCCTCCCCAATGGCTTTACACACACTCACACCCGCCCCTCCTCCACCTGACAGGCAGTTGTCTTTTAGGTGCAGGAGCTGGGGGCAGAAATGGTGTACAGATCTGTGGACTCAGTGGTGCAAATGGATGACATGGTCCACTACCCTATAGTGTTCCTCAACACCCTTAACCCTTCTGGCTTCCCAGCCCACAAGTTCTCCTCAAAGTGGGGGCTCCTGTGATGCTACTGCGGAACCTCAATCCACCCAAACTCTGCAATGGCACCAGACTGCAAGTGAAGGCCCTGCACAGGAACATCAAGATCATACTGCTCGCTGGCAGTGTTCAGGGAGACTAAGTGTTCATATCACGCATACCACTCATACCATCAGAAAACCCCTTCAAGTTCAAGATGCTGCAGTTCCCCTTCAAGGTCTGCTTTGCTATGACCATCAACAAGTCCCAAGGCCAGACAACAAGTCCCAAGGCAAGCAGCCTGGTGATCCTAGCACTTGAGGGCAGAACCACCAATGTGGTCTACAGAGAGATCCTTCAGCAGAGAAAAAACACCAGTATGTATGTTTCACTTAATTTTTTTATACTACAATCCTCTCCATTAGAATCCCTACAACAAATGTTACAGTTCAAACTTCACATAATCAGTATTATAACTGGATTTACAGAACTTAAACACCATAGCGAAGCACAGGCATCAAGCTAGTTGCTGATGGTTTTCAGCAGCAGTTGGAAGTTTTAGACCAGTGATCTTCAACCTTTCCAGACCTGGGTTCTGTTGAGATTTTGACAGGAAGTCTAGGGACAGGCCTGTAGCTACAGTGGGGCCTCTCGGGTCCTGGCCCCCCAGCTTCCCCCCAAGGCCCCCTGACTTCCCATCCAGCCCAGCCCCCCCCCCCCAACTTTCAATTTTTTATCTTATTTATGGTGCTTGCTTGGGGTGTGTGAGAGTGCCCCCTGACTTATTTAAAGGCCCCCCAAATTAAAAAATCCTGGCTATGGGCCTGTCTAGGGATATCAGTCATGCAACAGGAAATAGAGGAACCAGAGATATAACCTAACTGGTGTTAAGACAAGGATCATGGATAGTCCAAAAAAGCTTAGGACAAGTATGGTCATGAGGAAGAAGCTATGGGACAGAGTCATGGAAGAATTTTCTCTACCACTAAGCAATCTCACTTTGTTGTCCTGCTGTGCTTCTTGGCATGCATGCAAAGAGAGGCAGGAGCCCTGGAGCCCTCACTTTCTATGCAGCATCCTTCTACCACAAATGGTCGCTTTGTAGAGGCTCACCACCTACCTGAGAGTCCCAGCCAATGGAGCATTATTTTAGATGCTTCCATTGTTGAAACCTCATGCAGATACATTTGGAATGGTTGGGGGATAAAATTAAATTGGAAATGAAGTTCTGCTTTGTTGCCTGGATTAAGGTTGCCAGGTCCTCTCGTTGCTCTGGCAGAGGAATTTTTTTTGGGGGGGTGTTCTAGGGGTGGGCAGGAATGCCTACAGGCCCTGCCCGCAAGCCCCACCCCCATGAGTGACCACCCGCCATGCCACCCCTCTCTCTCCCTTCCAGCCTGATTTAATAGGCTTCAGCTGATCGGTGGGGACCTTGTGGCCTGCTAACCAGATGGAGGGCCCTTAGCAGGACGGAGGGAGAGGGGCGGTCAGGAGCTGCATGCTTAGCCAACTGCCCCTCTCCCTCCCTCCTGCTAGATTTAAAGGGCCCTCCAGCTGGTTTGCAGGACATGTGGTCCCCGCCAGCTGAAGCCCTTTAAATCAGGCAGGAGAGCAAGGAGAGGGGTAGCCTGGCAGGTGGTCACTCCTGGGGGGCGGGGCTTCTTTGGTAGCCAACTGGCCGGGAGTGGATTTAAGCCCCCAGAAGCAGGGGAGCCCCTGCCCAGACCTGGGGGCTGATAACCCTAGCCTGTATGGCCATGTTGGAGAACATATGGAAGCTCATCTGCTTTTGAGGCTATTTACACTGCCAGTGTGATTGTGGCCAGTCAGGCCGCTGAATGCCTACTATAAAAAAGGGTGTCCATCACAACGCAGGAAGTTGCTTTTGCGAAATATGCCTATGAGTCACTTTCCCCCCTTTTCATTTCCTTCCCTTTTAGAAATCTTCTTGTAAAGAAGTGCCTAAGTGATCTGTTAACGTCAAATGTGTCAGCTCTCGTTATTTTTTTTGACTTTGCATTTAGGAAACCTGTCAACATGACCAAAGCTACCATCAATTACCGCAACGAGAAGACACACATGATGAACGCGATTGATCGGAGCTTTACTGACCAGAGTACTTTGCAAGAGGATGAGAGGCTGGGTTTGTCCTTTATGGATACGCACAACTACAGCAATAGAGGTAAGTTCTCAGCAGGCTGATAGAACAAGTGTGTCTAGGGTTGCCAGCCCCTGTTGGGGGTGGGGGGTCCCCCAGTTTGGGGCCCTCCCCCCACTTCAGGGCTATCAGGAACTGGGGGAATCTGGCAAGAAAACGAAAATATAAATGATGTTTCTACGTCACCTGGGAATTACATAAGCATGTTGGTGATGTGGGGGGGTGGCACTCTGGTTTGGGGGCAAAACTGTATGCTAAGAAGCTAATTCTACCATAGAAGTTTTGCCCACAAATCAGATTGTCGCCCCCGACATCCCCAATGTGCCTATATCACTTTTGGATTATGTAGGCACGTGGCTCTGATGTCCCCGATGTGCCTATGTCATTGCGTTTATTTCTGCTTTCTTCCCTCCCTGCTCCTGGTAGGTGCATCCCCATCCCCTGCCTGCTCACCTGACAGACCTGGCAACCCTAAGTGTGTTGGACTGGAGTGTCATAACCCCTATGTGATATACATTCACGGAAATAATATTCAAGAGCATAATGACTTTAAGTTTCCATTTCATCTGATAGTACATCACTCTGTGGTTCACCAATGTGACACAGAAATCTCTTGGCAGAGCATCAGCCCACCATTAGCGGGTGGGACTTTGCTAAGGGGACATTGCATCCTTCCTCATAGAACCAGACACACACACTTGTTCTGATTCATTATTTGCTTGCTTTTCAAGACCCAGATGGTCCATTGTGCCAGGTTCTGTGCAAAGTATGTTGCATACAGAAGAGCTGAGACATGACCCAACAGTAGAGGAGCATGCGATGGCAGCAGGACAGGTGAAGTTATGTTGAACCAGAGCAGGTACTTCTAGTGATGGAAAGTGCCATCAAGTCACAGCCAATTTATGGTGACCTCTCATGGGGTTTTCAAGGCCAGAGATGAATAGAGGTGGTTTGCCAATGCCTGCCTCTGCGTAGCAACTCTGGACTTCCTTGGTGGTTTCCCATCCAAGACCCTGCCTAGCTTCTGATATCTGGTGAAATTGAGATACCTTCAGGAGAGGTACATCTAGGTAAATGGAAAAAGAGGAGCAAAGGGGACCCAAAAATCAGATGAGCTTGTGGAGAGAGAGAGGAAGCAGAAGAAGGGGGACAGTTTCTTGCTTCTCTTGTAGAAGAAGCAGTTTCTTGCTTCTCTTGTTTTCTTCAAGTATGGATGTGTATGGTATACAAATGGCACAAATGTGTATTCATATGCTGGATGTGTTTGGAGGAACTAGTTGTTTCATGAAAGTGATCTCATTTTGCAGTCCTGTCTGCTGTAAAACCTGTCTAACTAATGGTGGAAACCTGTCTTGCCTTATACACTCTAGTTTTTAGTTTTCCACCTTGTTCCTATTTTCTCCTTTCTTCTGCCTGTTGCTCCCCTCATTTCCTTCTGGAGCGGCCATTTTGTCTCTCCCTCACCTTTCCCTCCTATTCTTGAGAATTGCTATCTTCCCTCTCCACAGAGGCCTGATTACTTCTAACCCCTCTGATGTTCTCCTTCTCCTCACATCTTCTCTTTTATGTCCTTCACTACTGCTTCTGTTCCATCCTGTGAGTCATCTCACCTTTGCCTCCCCTTCTCTCCTCTCTTGCTGGGGTCTGGTGGCTCTCACCTTGACTGTTGCCCTGGCTGCTTTCTTCTTTGACCGTTGTCTCAGCTTCCTTTGTCTCTCAGGTTTCATTCTCATCCAGGTCATTGTAGCTGCACCACTTCAGACTACATGTTCACACTACTCCATGGAGAAACAACCCCCCCCACACAAGATTCCATACTGAAATATCTCTCAGGATCAAACGACATGTGATAATGCAAATCTGTATCAGACTCTGCCCCCCCCCCACATATATTGTAGCTAAAAAATGGAGGTTGGGTCATATGGATGAACTGTGGTACTAGGGAGGGGGATGGATAGCTCTTTCCCCTCTTGGCACTGTTTCCCTAATTGAAATTGCCTCTTTGGATAGCTTTAAACTTGATGCACAGAAATTATAGGTTATTATTTTGCAGGACGCCGTGTGGGGGAAGGTATTAATCCTCACTTCTCTAGTATCTTGGCCATATCCCCACCTACCTGCTGCTTTATTCAGTTTAAACTACACATCTAGGATCTGATCATGGAACCCCAGCATTTGGCCCCAAGCCCCTCTTTGAGAACAGCTCCACATTCACACAGGAACCTCCCCTCCCTCCAAATGTTCTCCCCCTCAAAGGTGGCCTTTTCTAGCTTTTTTTTTGTAGAAGCATTCTGAGTTTATTAAACAGGAGACAGATGGCAGGTGACAGACAGAGCCAGCGAGAAGCGGTTGCAGTAATCTAGGTGAAAGATGTTCAGCAAATATCTCCTTTCCACCCCAAATGGGACTAAATTCATTGATGAGCTGAAGGAGCTGGTTGTCAGCTGTTCTTTTCTGTCCTTCCCACACATGAAACACATCACTGGGAGTTTCAGGCTTTAGCAGATTTATTCATGCTCGAGACATTATGGCTTCATGTGCCAGACACTGCTACAAGACATTCTGAACACGTTCAGACTTAGGCGTTCCAAGTCAGACCGTAAATACAGACTATGGTTCAAGGCAAACATATCTAGCTACATTTAACTCCTAGTATCTCACTGGGCCTCATGAAATGCCATACACAGGAAGTTGTAGGGAGATATAGCCACAGAGTCATAGTCTCCATTAGTTTGTTTTATGTTTATGTATGTTTGTAGGTAGAGCCATAAGACTGATAAATTGTATAATTTATATTTTGGTATATTAGCTACTATTGTTCTTCCTCACATGCATAAGCCCAAATAAGATGAATTTTCATTGTACAAAGCAAATCTGCACATGTGGACACGAGTGACACATGGGATTGACGTGCAACATTTTGGTATGCAATGTAAACTTCTTGTTTTATAAGCTTTGAGTGAAATATTTGATTGAACTAAAGGGGTTTAGATAATTTCCTTTTCCGACTGAAACATTCCGTGCAGTTCATACTGGAATTAATACATACCCTGTGCCCTTTAGATGTGTTTGTTGTCATTTCCCATCAGTTCCATTTGATCTCTGTTTGTGGTGCCATATTTTGATTGGACCAATAACTGCAACTTTTTAAAAATTGTATATTCTAATCGGTTTGGGATACTGGGCTAGGTGGATCTTTTCAGTACTTTCATATACATTTGATCTGTAAATTGCACTCCCTTCTAAGACTTTCCTGACATGGCCATGCTGATCCATACTTCTGTAGACTAGATTACGGCAATGTGCCCAGTGTTGGGGCTGCCCTTGAAGACATCTCAGAAACTCTAATTAGCACAGGACATTTGCCTTCCCACCAGCTGCTTTGTGCATTTTGTAAATGTTTTAACCTGCTAATCAAGTGATACTATTTTTTTTTTTAAGTTGCACTTGTTACTTATTTGGTTGCTGGTTTCAATTTAAGTTGCTGTTTTTGACTTGCAGAGGCATTTGCAGCCTGGGACTGAAGGACTACCCAACCTTCCCCTGTAGCACTTGTTCTCACCCCCCCTCCCCCGGTTAGTTCCTGGACTTGTCAAGTTCCTGCTCTTGTGCTATGGAATACTCTCCTGGAACCTGTAGAACATTGATGTTCTACTTCAGCCTTGCATGACCACTCTATTTCAGTAGCATCTAGGGTGTCAGAGGGGAGAGGGAAGGGAGAATCTTCCCTCTTACTGCCTGTCAGTGGGCTGAAATGGAGGAGAGAAGAACAATGTAAGCAGCTTTGTGTTTTCACTGAGGAGAAAGGCAGGGTATAAATGAAGTAAGTAAAACAAGTCAGGTTGCTGTCTGCCATCTTCTACCTCTGCAGTACCTAGGGTTGCCAAGTACTATCTTTGCTCCAATATGAGCAAAAATGGGAGGGGGGGCAGTGCTACATCACCATGTCACTTCCACTTCTACCCAGGAGTGATGTCACAACACTTTAAGAATTCCCTGATGGTTTTACCATAGATATTTGGAGTGTTTCTAGAGTGTAACAACTTCAGTTCTATGTACAACCAGAAGTGATAGCACACAACATCACTCCCCACCCACATTTTTGCTTCCTCCGGAGCAGAGTCCTAGTGGGCCTTGGAGCCCAGGAGCAGGAGTTCGTACCGCCCCTCAGGCAAATGGCCTCCCTGGCAGCAGGTACCTTTAGCTGAGCAGAGGGACAGTAATAGGAGAGAAGAATTCTTCTTTTGCTTGGATGTATAATATGAGCTGGAAATATACAGAAATGGCAAGCATTACCAGCCACTGATGCTCAGGGAAGACGAGTTTCAGTGGCATCTCTAATTGCACACCTTGAAGAGTTAAAGAGGCAGAGCCTTTCGGGTTAGGCCCCAGACTGATGGTTTCCCACAGGCGCGAATGTACCGCTATGCTGATTTAGTTGTAAAGTAATTCTTTCTGTGCCCCAGTTTCAGCCATATGCTAATAACATCTGTTAGTGAAACTTCAAGATGTTGCCGAGCGCTCCTCTTCCCTCTGCAGACTACAAGATTAATATGGTTCCTACCATTGTCTCACAGATAATAGAAGCCCAGAGGGCACGAATATGTCGCTTTTATATATCTTCGCAGGAGTATTATTTTATTTTAGTTACTGCACTACTGTGGGTTCTCAGAATGCTCTTTAATGAGACCGGTTGGTACGAACATTGTCCTCAGCAAGCCTCTGAGAGCTTTCAGCCCAAATTTGCCGTGATGGCTTTACATCTATTGAAGTCAATGCAACGGCACCTGCTTTTTGCTGGCAATGGCTTTCACCCCCCATTCCTCTGAGGCACATTGAAAAGGAGTTTTCTGAAGCACTTGCTGGAGGGGCTGTGGCCTCTTTCTGTGTGCGCTGATGAAAATACACAGAGGCTTGTCCCAAAATTAACCTTCAGCACATGCAGGAAGGGAAATCCATGTTTGAATGCAGCATACTTGGTGCCTGCAAGCTTGAAGACGTCAGAGCCAGAGTGGTGTAGGGAC